CTATCTTTCGCTACAATTTTAAACGTGATAAATAAGTCACTTAAATAACTTCTAAGTGACTTCACATAATGTCAAGAGATTTATTCTAAAAGACACTTCTTCAGCTAAGAGTCAGAGGGTAGAAACACGCTGCAGCTTTTACTTGCAAGGGCGGTCACAGAGCGCTCACATGAGAGTGGGGCCCTGTGATGTGCGCTCTCTTCTTGCACTTGTCTCTATTTATATACAAAAGTAATACAACAGTGAATACGTCTGTTCATAGACAGGAATGTTGGTGCGTATGCATGTGCGTGTCAGTCTGAAGGAGGCAGCCCCTCTTCTTGTTAGGGAGCGCAGAGTGTCCAGCTCTCCTCTTCCTGCTAGAAAGTTAGAAGCCATCCAGCTCCATGTCTTTAGGACATTCTCGCAGTTTAACTAATTGGTGTGTGTCATCTGGCATGGCTTCATGGATAGATAGAGTTGGGTGCATAGCAGTGAAAATGTATACCATGCCATGTTGTTGCTTTTCTTTAAAACAGTAAGAATAAACTTAGTTTTGCTATATAACTCAGTCATTAATTTTACTTTCAGGAAAAGTTGTGATTGGTTTGGTAATCTCTGGACCCTCCCATTAATTAAAGGAGAGCATGCTTTGGGCGTGTGGTGGAAATGTTTTGTTATTTTATTGCCAAATGTCAGGTGGGACAATGAGATTTTTTTTTTTTAACCATTTTTGAACTTCTGACATCAGATTAAGTTAACTTTCATTTATGTTTAAGCTGTAAGTAATTTTAGAGTTGATTTTTGGTTTATATCTTATATCGAATCTTGTTTATATAGTACCACATGTACTATCAAAGAATCAGTTCAGAAGAGTGTTCTAGAACAAACCACCAACTACAGCATGTAGTGCCATTTTTTGGGAACATTTCAAGTTTTTGTACATCAATACAACAGTTATATCCCAAATTTTAATAATAATAATAATAATAATATGTATGCATTAAGTCCATAGTATCGACATAAATTGCAAAAAAGTGCAATAAACGAAAAAAAAGAAAATTGTTTTGTTTGCACATATTTCTTGTTTTATATATTTTACAAAATTTAAGAGGTTTATACCTCTTAAAAAA